AACCTAAAACTAAAAACACCTTTCAAAGCGAGAGGCAAAAAGTATTTATTTGAGTTCAAAGAATAGCCATTTGGGACATGCTGGTTCAGAAAGAAGCTCAAATAGGAGAAAAAGGCAGTAGATATTTATGAGAAAGGGAAGGGGGACAATTACATCAATAGAAGGAAGGCATTTCTATTGGTGCTGATAAGCTCACGGAGCGATGCTGATTCCAAACAAGGATTTTAATTTTCAGTCCTATAGTCATCAGGGAGCAATCATCATCTATGTTTCTTGTTATCGTTGCAAACAGTTCTTTGGGGCATGATGCTGTGTTAGGCCCAGTCCAGAGTTTATTTTTCCATTTTAAGATTCCAAGGTTTGAGGCCTAAGATGTGCGAGGTAGCTCCTCAGGCACGACAGCCCCAGCTCTATGTTAAAGTGGCTCTGTTCGTTCTTAGTTTCTGACACCTGGAAGCGAGGGCAAAGCCAGATCTCTGGACTTGGCATTCAGCCCTGGTGGGCTGTGGTTAGGGAAACTTTTTCTTACATGGTAAGGTTTCAAGCATTTACTTAATCTGGAAGGAGATCAGGTTGGGAATGGTGTGAAGGCAGGTTTTTATTTGGGGTGGGGTGGGGAGGGGAGGAGGGGTTCATCCATCAAGAAGCTTTCCTGGGCTGAGACCTAGAAGGAAATATTGGAGGCACTGTGGCTGGGGCTCCCGAGTTTGCTACTTGAAAAGTCAGGCTGGCTGAGCAGGTTAGAGACCAGACAGAGAAAGGCATCAACATCTGGTCAGAGACTGAGCTACTTGAATTGCAACCCTGCTTTTGGTCTTGGGACTGCTGGTGCAGACTTTGATGTTGTAATTTTTTATTTAAAAAATTTTCTATTATTTTATCTGGGTTCTCCCTACAGTTCCTGTACACAGATCCTCATTTAGTAGTTAATATAGGCATGCGATATAATGTTTTTCTCAGAAAACTATCAATATTAGCTTTGTGTAATACACAAAGTTATTGTGCAGTGGGAGTGGATGGCAAGGGTTCTTGAGGTTAAAAACAAATCTACTCTGTTTTCAAACTGGCTGTTCAAACAGGAGAGAGCATGCACAATGTATAAGCACATGTTTGATTAAAGCTCACTATTTTGGAGAAAACACAAAAACAAAAGGAAAGTACTATTTAAGCATGCTAAATATAAAATAATAATACACACTACCGATAAGCCTGTAATGAAAGTGAAATACTAATATACTGCCGGTGGCATTGCAAACAGGAGAAACAGTGCCAATTTATTTAGAAACCATTAAAAATTCACATTCCTTGACGAAGTGATCCCATTCTAGGAGTATATCCTAAGGAAATAATAACAAAAAATGAAAGAAGCTGTACACACAAATACGTAACCTAGAGGTTATTTATAATAGTGGAAAAACTGGAAACAACCAGTCTCCTAAAGGATGATGTGTTAACAAGATGGATGATTGCATGGGCACTAAAGTAATAATTATGATGATTATGGAGCAACACGGTAAACAGTTATGATATACTACAATATAAAGCTTACACATATGCATAGCAAAGCACTGGAAGTGAAATAATGAAAACACTAGAATTTTTATTATTCTCATCACAATATTTTGCAAATCAACCACAAAAACTAGGCTCACGAGGATGCAGATTTGACCTGTGAGCATTGACTGACTAACGCATCCAGGGTTGTGTTCCCTCATGAATAGTACCTTGAAAACAAATACTTCACAACCGCATTAAGAGATAATGCTCTAGTATTATTGAAGGGGGGTTAGAAAACACATGAGTAAAAGTCTTCCGTGCAAGGCGACCTGCAGGGGAGCAGCACATGGAACAGGAAAGATTTCTAGGAACCTGACACAGTCCAGCCTCCTTAAGATCTTTGCTCAAGTCAGCTCTGGAAAATGTGTGACTCTGGAAAAGTAGGGTTAAGAATAACCTGTAAAATAAAACTTAAAAATGAATAATGATGGTAAAGAGTGAATGCTATTTGACTACTATGCTTTGCATCCCAAGTCAGGGTCAGTGAATAGTTATCGCAGTTGCTGCTTCTCCAAATAACCGTGTTTTCCCCAAAGCCTCTGGTAGCCAATGCCAAGCAAATGTATCTCACTTCAGCAACCACACTGTAGCCATGGAATACGAGCTGAGCCCATAGCACTTTGAGGCTCTTTCACCTGTGGTTCTATAATATGTTCCCTTTAAATCTCTGTGTGATGAGCCAACATTAGTCACTTAGGCTTCTGGGAACCCGGCTCCTCTGTAGCCCCGTGGCCTGGACGTCCAGATGGGTAGGGAAACGCTAGAGTCCTGTGACTAAGAGCTTTGGAATCAGGAGGATCTGCATTGACATCCTAAACTCATCACTTCCTAGTTATATGATGTTGAAAGATGAATTTCTCAATGTCTTCACCTTAAAATTGTGACCATAAATCACCACCTTACTGGGCTGCTGTGATGGTAGAAAAAGCACTTTGTGTGGTTTTTGGTGAATACTAAATATCTGCTAAGTGATGGCTACTATTCATTATTATTATTATTATTATTATTATTAAAAATTCCCAAGAGTTCCTAGAGAAACCAGAGACACAAATGGGGCAGTGTTCTAATGCCAAAGCTGGGAGCCAGGAAAAAGGCACGATGTGCCTGGAGGTCAAGCCTTTGCAGCCTCCCAGAGATAGCACTCCTGGCCTGCCCAGGGCACAGTCCACACTCTGGCTCCCACTCTCCCCCAGATGAGCACAGACTTTAACAGACAGTTCCTTGATACGGAGGGTTCACATCACAGGCAGGAAGGGGCTGGCCTGGGAGGCAATGACGGCCTTGCAGAACATTCAAGAACAGCTCTGGGACTGACTGTGTCCACTCCGCTTTTTCCCGCTCCAGCTGCAGGGGCTGAAGGGATCGGCGTGTCTGGGGAAGAAGTACAGCTACTGTGTGCAGGAGGCCTCGCTTCCCATGGGCCGAAGGGAAGAAATAAGCCCTCACCTCTAGAAAAGGCTGTGTGGTATCTCCCATTCAAAAAGAAGAGCCATATCTTCCATCTGTGTATTTTAAGTGACTCAGGCTTGAGGAATTTGGGGTGGGCCTGAATTGCACTTCGATGTGGGACTATTTATACAAGGTGTGAGATGCACATTCCAAAGGACTGACACCCACAGTGGCCCCCACATAATAGTCAGTAATAAGCAGAACTAACATTTATTGAGCAGCTACAATGGGCCAACTACAGTTTTATAGGCTGCCACTCATTGAATCCCTCACCGCCATCTTCGAGCCCTAAATTGCATTATCCTCATAACACACTTGGAAAAACTGCGACCAAGTTCATTAACTTGTCACAGCCATACTGCCAGAATGCATAGAGCGGAGACTAGAAACCAGATCCGTTCTCACCACAGTGCTTTCCTAGCTTGGTAAGAAATGTGTTGGAAAAGCAAATTCCTTTATTCCAATGAGAACACAGGAGAGAAAGCAAGTATTTGTGTTTGTATAGCTAGAAGAATGCCCATCAAACGTGAATCCTACACATAAAGTACCATAAATAAGAGGTGTGACCTAGAGAAAGTAGGTTTTACTTAACAGTCTAAAGTATTTCCTATGTTTAGAGCAGTGGTTCTCAACGGAGTGCAGTTTTGCCCACAGCAATGCTGGAGACAGTTTTGGTTGTCACAGCTTCAGGGGTACTCCTGGCATCTAATGGGGTATACGCCAGGGACCCTGCTTAAAATATCCTAGAATGCGTAGGACAGCCCCCTACTTCGGAGAATTATCAGGCTCAAAATGTCAATAGTGTGAGGTTGGTTTAGAGGATACAGGTCCTTGTTTATCTTCTACGCCTGGTTGTGAGCCAAATATATCACTCCTAAAAATAGGCCAAGATAAAAACCAACATAAGTGTGCCTCTTGTGCGTACAGGAAATATGGCTAATTTCAAACCTCACTCCCCTCTTCTATTCATCATTTGCTCATTTTATTTGATTTTATATTCAATGTAATCAAAACCTCTAATATTAAATCATTTTCTAACTTTTAGAACCCTCACAGGCAAGCTATTATAAGAATCAAGATTGGATGATTTAAACAGGTATGCTCAATTAATTAATTAGTATGTATGGGAGAAGTTAGGAGATAAAAGAAGGACAAAGGAAGATTGATGTGGCAATAAAACTAAACTCTGCTACCAGCACTTTGGTGGGAGAAGTGGGACACATTCTCAGTTGTACTGGTTTCATTTCTGCCACTACCTGCCCCCAACAAGTGGAGGGACGTTTGTCTCTGACAGAATGAGTAAGAAGTCACCCCTACCCCCCTGACTGCATGAAGACTGAGGTCAGCATCCCAGACACAATGGGTATCAGGATGGCAGCGGGCTTAGGCTAAGGGCAATTAAAAGGTGATA